TATTTAAATTCTTTAAATCTCAAATTTTAGTGCATGCCTGTTAATGTTTCGTCAATGAAACCTGCTGCCGTGATTTTCACTTAAAAAAAGATTTTTTCCTTAATCGCCCAGTGTCACAAGCGACTTGAACGGCGCTTTGAACAATACTTTCCTTATTCTTCTGCTTTTATTATCTTCTCTTCTCGCAGTGGTTATTGTAAGTCAAAAATGGAGTCTTCCTATCATTTGGAAATCAACCTAATGGCCACTTTCGAGCCTGCGGATATCACTCAAAAATTGCCCCTGCCAATCGGTTGCCAGCGCGATGTGCAAAGCTCATAGATTTTTTTTAACTCCAATTTCTACAAATGAATTTTCACTCTAGTTTGTTGTCTGACATCGGCACTGAAGGGGTTGTCGCTGGCGTTGTTCTCAACATTATTTGCTCCATGACTCCTTCGGTGAAAAATAAATTATGGCCTTCTTATTTCGTAGCTAACCATGTTTCATAGGTATGCAAAACCGTCAGCAACATGGTTATGTTGAAAAAGCAGGCCGACGTTGATTTGCAGTCTTTCCATGCAGAATATTCTTGTTGAAGTCGAAGGCTTATCCACGTGGTTTCCTCCAGATGCGCGTTCACTATCGCACGTTAGCTTCCGAACCCAAATCGAGGTAGACTTCCATTTTTTCTATTACCCGCAAATTAATAGATTTTGGCTTTTTGTAGCGTAGCAAATTGTGTGTATTTCATCACTGATCACGGGAAAATAACGAAATCTTTGGATTAAAGTCCTTTTTTCTTGCTTTAAACTGAATTGCTGCATTACATTTATGTAAACCGTGAATGTACAGAAGTTGCTGTTCATTAGTGACCGAATGTGGTGCACTTTCTTTTGATGTTCTAATGATAGTTGCATCAGGTTCAAGTTGACAATTGCGTGGATAATTCGCCACGGACTAAAATCTTCGGTTTGACCCAGAAATACACGGTTCTTGGCTTAAGCCAGTGAACAACTTCATAAATTATATGATTGCCCAGACTATGGATGGCAAAAAGCAAGTCTGATTTCAAGCATTTGCGAACCAGCAAAAAAAGTCCTGCGCCGTTCAAAGATCAATGATCGACAGGGATCGAAAACACGCTGATCTTTAACGTGCCATGTTACGGTTTCAATATCCGGTTCGCCGAATTTTTAGGTCAGCAAACAAGGACCGTATATAAATAACTGTTGTTGCAAGATATCCGTCGGCAAATAGTCTCCGTTCTCTCGAATCTGCAAGCAGCTCTTTCGAACCAGTGTCTGGAAAGTTGTCATTATCATGAACCGACGGCATAAACAGGCGTTTTTGGCGTTCGTCGTTTTTTTCGTTGTTGCTTACCTGTGCAGCCCCGTCGAAGGTAAGTGTGTCAATGACGTATTTGTTTCTTGTCCGTTGTAGTGACCGCTATTATAGGTCAACACTATCGATCCAGAGCTCGGGCGCCAATATTCGGCAAATACGGAGGGCCTTGGAGTGGCGGGCCTCTGTCTAATCCTCTGAGCGACGCCATGAGCAGTCTCGGGGCTGAAATAGCTGTTGGCCACTTAATGGGCTGACGAATAACAACAGCCGCAGTGATTCGTTTCATTTGATGAACGAATTCAGCGCCTGGTTGAAAAAAATTTTCCCATGCTCAGTTTGTGCACAATTTTTTATATTTTGCAAATTAGACGTGCGGAACTTTTTAGACCATGTAGGAATATAAATTAGATCTTTTTTCAAGTTCATTTCTGTCAATTTCTTTCCTTTGAAATTGCAAAATTATTCACGCATGTAAATCAAGCAATTTTGGGCTTGTTGCTGCATTTTGTTGATAAAATAGTTTGAATAGTTTGAAACTTAGTAAATAATTGTTCATGGTATTTGATTTTTTGATACCGTATGCAATCCGTAAAAAGTAATTTGCGAGTGGCACTACGCAAAATTTGCTTATTTCTGGGAAGCAGTTGCCTCCAGAGATAAAAAGGAGATTTTCTAGACGAAGGAAGAAGCTAGAAAATTACCTTATTCAGTCTAACGCGTGGGGCAATGTTGCTTTGAGTCTACGGAGAATATTTTCAAAGGTAATATGTGAAGCATACTGTAAAACAAAATTTACTCTATAGCGTGTCTGTATTTGTCGCAAATAATCATTTAGTCAGTTTTTGACCTCCTTGTGGATTGCACCATAAGAAAAGTCGCCATGTCTCATGCTCTCGACAACGGTTGTTACAGTTTCTGCTGCTTATGACAATGAATATAAACTGTATGAAAACAATTCGTGCACATCGCCAAGAAGCCAAAAGCGAAGCTTTCATACAATTGTGGACCACAGAACAAAGATTAGAAATCAACCTATCCACTTTGAAGAATCTCAATGAGCAATGAACTGAAATATCGATATTAGTTAATCACCCGAATGACCAATGCGTTTGCGCTGCGAGTGAATAAATCGTTTTTATGCAGTTTTAAGTATGACGACCAACGCATGAACGAAATATTGCATCTCTGGAGACCGCATAAGGAGCTGTCGTATGGGTCAAGGAGAATTGCAGCCCGTGAAGCACTCGCATCAGACAGTATGGCCGTACCTGTCATCCATTAGTGTCTGACTACATCAGAACGCCATACTGCCACTGTTGTTCGCAGGTCAACGATTGTTACGCATTCTCGCGATGAATTACTTGCTGATGAAAATTTTCAGTGAGACAAAGACTGTATACTCTTCGGTTTGAAGCAGACTTTTTTGATACTGTGCCACTCCAGATTATTATTCTAGATGCAAGTACCTTGGCACGATTTTTTCAAATTATGCGGTATCTTTTTTTAGGCCATACACTTGTTGGTCGACTAAGGAATAACTTTTAGTTATCATTTTCACTAGTAATATTCGAAAGACATTAAACCATAGGTTTTAGGTCGCGATCTCTCATTCGTGATCAGTAGTCGCTCAATTCGAAGGGTTTTTAATCGTTAAAACGGGTTTGTACCCACGTGCATGACATTTTGGGACTTGCAAATATTGCCTATGATACTTTAACATAAGTAGACAGTTTTCATATTTCTTACAGAACGCCCTGCCTTCGCATTTTATTACCTACATCGCCAGCGTATGCTGTTCGCAAATAGTGCTCAAGGTATTTCCTCAATGCAGGACATTTTATTACCATAATGTTGAGTCATCACGAATAATTGAACTTTGTTACATTCCCTGACATAAATGCTCTACTCGGTATAAAAATTGTCCATTGTGTTTTCAGGCTGCTACATAAACATCAACACGTTGTATCATCCGAACCTTAATTAGAGAAAGAGAAGGCATATGATAGTAAGTGATCTTTGAGCACCAGACGTGCTGGATTAGAATTCTTCAAAAAAATTGCTCAATCAATAATTCGCTTCATCTACGAATTTATCAGCCCAGAAAAGGCGATCAAGTTGTTGACTCACAGCACAGTGTACTGGCGCGGTTATACCAGAATTCGCGAAACTTATGGTAATGCTTTCCGATGCGAGCGCCTCATATGGTTGTAATTTACTTTGACCTGCCGAACAATTAACTTTCTAATGAAATAATGAGTTAAAGTTTTAATCCGGTCAATCAGTCAAGAATTTTGTTCATTGGCAGACCTTCATTGCTTAACTCATCTTTTTATTGTTTCTCGAATGCGTATGAAGAGCTTCGACTCTTGAAATGCCTCTGGTGTTAAGCAAGATATTTTAATACAAATTGGGGTTGCATTTTGCGCTGTAAGGAAAGCCAGCTATTATGTGGGTCAGGGCGAAGTCAAATCTGAAAGGGTTCACATCAGACAGCATGACCGTGCACCTCTCCCACTGCGGCATGACCAAGCACGAATACCGTTCTGTCCTTATTTTTAACAGTCACCCATTTACTACTATCTTCTCGGCCGAAGCAATGTACGGTTAATTAATTGCTTTGCTCATAAAATTCGCGATAAAGACAAAGGTAGTATGGATTCGAATTCTTGAGTGGATTCGAACC